TGATAAATCCACTTCATGTTCCCTGCACTGAGGTCCCAGCACCTGAGAAGAGCAGTAAAGAAACTCCTTGGAGAAACCTGACTCCACTGGGAAGAATGGCTCCCTGTACCCCCAACCACCCCAGCACCCCCAACTCCCAGTCTCCACCCCTTGATGGGCTTTGTGTAAATCTTGAGCTACAAGCATTTGTAACCATCATGGTGGGGCAAAGCAGGTCTAAATGAGCATTAATGTTCCCAAGGGCTCCTTGGCCACCTCATCCCAAACCCCTATTGTTCATATGATGGCCTTTCTCCTTTTAAAGTGTCCACTCATGCCCTTTAGCATCCATCTCAGCTGTTTATTGATCAATTTATGCTGCAAACCTGCATCCACCATCTTCCCAAACACAGAACAAAACCACTATCACTCTGCATTACTGACAATTCTATGAATAAGCCTTGAATATGTGTTCCATCCTGTTGTTCTTTTTGAAAATTTTCATTTTCCAAAAGCTCTGGTGCCCACAGATACTTTGCTGGCATTTGCAGCACTCTTGCCCTCCCAGAGGCCCTGGAGAAGGTGGGTGTACATACTGTGTGTCTGCCAGCGAGGCCCTGACGCTGGCCCAGATGGACACAAACACAGCAGGGAGACCTGGAAGGGCAGGGACAGAGTGAGGAGCAGGGTTGGATCATCACCTTTGCACATCCAAGCAGTTCCTGCATCCCACTGCCCTTCCCATTCAGCCATGGCCAATGCCACAGCTCCCGGCTGGAACTGGGTCTGTGCTCACCCCAGCCGATGATGATGAGGACCCACAGGTAGTTCTTGTTGGAGAGGAAGGCCATGAAGATCAGGCTGTGCAGGTAGAGACCTTCCACCAGGATCCAGTAGTGGTTGGTGGCCAGAAAATAGAGGAACAGAGTCACCACCACCTTGCAGCCAACCTGTGGGAGATGTCTGTGTCAGGCTGGTCCCCAAATGCAAAACCTGGTGGCTTTTGCTTTCTGGTCACCAAAACCCAGCTGTGGCCCATGTTCCTCTTGCAGAGACCTGCATCTCCTCTGGGATATTCCAGCATCTTCCTTCCCACAGGACAGGTATTCCCTGTACACAGGCCAAGGTACTCTGTGGCTCTAGTGTGGCACCAGGACAGGGAGGAGCTGGGCAGAGCCAAACCGGACCTTCATCCCCTCCCCCTGAGCAGCCTGGGGGGATCCCAAGCACATCCCATTGCATCAGAGCTCCCAAATCCCCCTTTGCCCCCATGCACCACTTGCCAGGTGTGCCCGCTGTCCTGGCAGGGGAGCCCTGAACTCGTCCTCCCTCCTGTCGGCGTCGCTGGGCGCCGTGCCCGAGTAGAGCACCAGGTCCTTCAGGAAGATGCTGAGGGCCCGGCAGATGAAGGAGGTGAAGAGGTGCACGTGGATGTAATTGCGTGTGCAGTGCAGGCGCCTGCAGAGAAGGGATGTGAGCCAACCAAACCCCAGCTGCCCAACCACACTCAGGCTCAGGCAATGGGGGCTCTCAGAGGGGGCTCTGGACTGTCTGGGCACAGAAACCACAGCTGGGAGCAAGGGTGGAGACATCAGGAGCTGGTCACACAGGGCAAGTTTGGGGCTTTGGGAAGTTTGTGTTTGTGCTGGGTCTGGGGTTGTTCTCATTCCTTTGGGGGCTGCCCCTCCCCAGGCTCGTGTGTGGGGACAATGGGATGGGTTCCTGTTCTCCCACACGGGAGGGACTTTGGCCTCTCCTTACTTGAAGTAGGAGAGGATGCAGACAGCCACGATGAGGGAGGCCAGGGAGATGGAGTAGCCCACGGTGTACATGAGGTGCAGGCGGTCAAACACCTCCTGGAAGAGAAGGACTGAGCTCCACCTCCCTGCCAGAGCACAGGGGCAGCAGGGCTGCTTTGAGGAGCAGGGAGGGAAGAGCCCCTGCCCCCAGCACTTCCCCTGGCCCCCATCACACCCCTGCACAAACAAGGTCACCTTCTGGTGCCTCCGGCTCTCGGAGGAGAAGAGCAGGGCACACTCGGTGTAGTTGGCCCAGGTCTTGTTGATGCTGAGAGCCATGGCCCAGGTCCCATAGGCACTGCAGTACCTGTAGGCGTGACCTGGGAACAGCAACGAGCACTGTGGCAGCAGAAGGGCCCGTGGGAAGCCCAGAATGTCCCTGCTCCGTGGATTGTCACCAGGGTGAGGTCACTCTCTGCCCAGGTACAAGACTTGCCTTTGTGGTTGAAGTCGTAGATGTAATCAGGGCAAGGCACTGACACCTCCTGGCTGGGGGAGCCCCTTGGCCAGCAGATGATCCCATCCCACTCTGGAGGGCAGCTGGGGTCTGGCCAAAGAGCAAAGACACATCTCACATCTCAAGCCTCAGCATAACCTCTGGCTTCCCCAGGTGTGTGCTGGAGCAGGGGGAGGAAAACTCTGCCACAGATTCCCCTGGGCTGAGAGAGGGAGAAGCTGCAGGGGCCAGGGAAGGGGACACATCCCACCTCTCCCAGATGGGGCAAGGCCCCTGCCCAGCTCTCCTTTCTGGTGTACATGGAGCTGTCTGGAAAATGCTGGAGCCAGTGCTGGCTGCACCCAGAGCACAGATGGTGCCATGAGCTCCACAAAGCCCCAGGAGCTGGGTGTCCTCAGCCCCATCCCACCCCAGCAGAGAGGACAGCATTCCCCATGGTGTAACCAGCTCCACCAGGGCTGGCTCACCCAAGCACACACACAATACCTTTGATCTTCTCCAGCTGGGCCTTTATGTCCCTCTGACACTTTTCCTTGGCCTCCACCAGGAGATAGATCTGCTCTTCTTTTGTGAGAACATCATCAGGATCGACCTGCCCAGACAAAACCCAAGTGTCACCCCAGTGACAACCCCTTGGCTCAAGTCATGGCATGGCTGTGCTATCCCAGCCCTCTCCAGGAGAGTCAGGTTTGGGTGGCTTTGGGTACATTCAACAACACGGGGAAGAGAAAAGTTCTTCCTGCATTCCTGCTCTCATTTTTCCTTCTTCCAAGGCTGATGGTGACTCCAAGCCCCTTCCCACCCTCTCCATGGTCATTTCTGCTCATGGTTATATGCAGAAATCAGTGGCCTGTTGGGCTCCTGCCCCAGCTCCCTGTCACCCACCAGCAGCAGTGCTGGGTGTCCCTGTTGCCCGTGCTGAGCTGGACAAAGCTGAGCTGACCAGGGTGAGGACACAGCTTTGGGAGTGAACAGGAGCTGGGATGCAGAAGGGTCACTTTCCCCAGACTGCATCCAGTGAGAACAGCAAATCCAGCCCCAGAGAGGAGATCCAGGACTCCCGTCCATGCTCTTCCCCAAAGCAGCATCTGGGTGGGTGAATGGGGGCAGAGAGGGATCCTGGGGGTGCACCAGCAGGACGGGGCCTGGCTGTGGGAGTCTCACTGGCTGTGCCCAGCTCTGCCTCCAGCCCCTCCCGCAGTGCCCGTAATGCGCCCGCTCTGCCCGCCCGCTCTCCGAGGCACCGACCCCTGCCCTGGATGTGTCCGAGAAATGGAAAAGCCATCACGCTGCAGTGCCCCCATGGCTGCTGGAAAGCTTTTAGCAGCAGTGGAGATGCTCTCCCCCCCTGCCCAGCAGCTCTGCAGAGCAGGACAGAGCCGGGAGCACAGCCGGCCCTGCCCGGGCCAGCGGCACAGCATCTAAAGCCAGGAGAGGGAGCGGGGCAGCCCCGCAGACTTACCAGAGCCGAGCTCAGGAGGCAGCAGCACAGGAGAGTCACCAGGAAACCTCCCACAGGGCCAGATGTCCCCATGGTGCCACCGTGTCACTCGGATGGGGACTTCAGCAAGCAGAACGGCTGCCAGTGGTGGAGAGGGCTGGCGTGCTCAGCAGGACAGAGCATCTTCTGGGAGCACCCTCCTGGCCGCCAGCCCCACCGAGGTGAGGGGGCACTGGGGGCACAGCCCGTCCCTGGGAGATTGGGGCTGGGTGAGTTCCTTGTCGCTGTGGGATCCCTATAGGGATCTGCTCCCAGGCTCTCCGGGCAGGGGGGTTTCTCCCCCCACCATGCTTGATCCTATTCTCTCTTTGTGTCTTGCCTGCTTTAAGCAGCTCCAGGAGCGTGTGCAAACAATTCCCGTTCGGATGGGGATGGCTGAGGTTTATTGGCTTAGCCCAAGGTGCTAAAATCCTCTTCATTCAAGGCAGATTCCTCTTCTCTTTTCAGAAACTTCTCTCACTGCTTGGTGGCTCATTTTTCAGCTGTCACAGCATTCCCCCACTGCCCCCATGCTCCCAAGTCCCTTCTGGCCCCAGACTGGTCCCAAGTAGCAGGAGGAAGGTGGGGAAAATGCCAGCGAGGTGGCTGGAGGCAGGGAGGCAGAGGGTGCAAGCACGTGGGCAGCACCTTGAGCTGATGCTCCCGCGATGGGATGTCTTTCAGGCAGATGCCAGTTTAACCCTTTTCCTTCTCCAGGGGCTGGGTGTGTTTTAGGGATGTGCTGGGATGTGTCCTGCTCTCCCAGGCACCCACAGTGACCTCAGGGCACATCTGCATTCAGTGTCCTCGGGAGAGGGGCTGGAGGTTCCATCCTGGGGCAGGGGGTGGAGGGAGCAGCCACCCAGATGGGTCTCACACCATCACTGGGCATCAGGTCAGAGCTGGTCCCATGTCACCATCCCTTGTCACCTGCATCCCCCTGATGGCCCCAGGGCTGTCCCCTGCCTTTCAGGGTCATGCTGATGCCCAGCTTGCTGCCCCCACCCAGCCAGTTCCAACACCCTGTGACCCCCAGCAGCCCGAGCGTCCCCCCGGGCACAGAATGAGGCACAGAGAGAGGGGAGCCCTCTTTCCCCAGGCAGGTTGTCATTAGGAATGAGGCTGGAATTCAGCAGCCCAGTGCCAAATCCCTGGAACAGCAGCTCCCAGCCTGGGCCCCTCCCCTGGCGCACACAATCCATGTTCAGACACGGCTCTTGCTGCCTCTGTGAGAGCCCCAGGCCTGCACAGAGCAGCAGAGCCCCCGAGCCTTCCTTGGGTGCTCCTGGCAAGGCAGCTCGCTCTGCTCCCAGCCTGAGCCCCCCTGATGTGTGGTAAGGGTCAGAGCCTGGCCAAGGGAACACAGCAAATCCCAAGGGCTCAGGAGGGGCTGCTGCTCCTGCTGAGGAATCAATCAGACAGCAAAACAAGCCCACGGTGGCCATCAGCTGAAAATCAAGGAGGGACTGGGGACATTGTCTGCAGCTGCCTGTCTCCACTGCCCGAGCCATGGCGTGGGTGTGACACCAGCTCTGCCAGCAGCTCCTCGGGATGCTGCACGGGCATGAGGGTGAGCAAGGGACAAACAGTCAGACTGAATGTTTTCTGAAGGCTCTGCTGGGTGTAATTTCTGACCCAGAAGCTGCTGGGGGTGAAGATGGAGTTAAGGTGAGGTTATTTTGGTGTCGATGGATGCTGAGGGGGAGGCAGCTCAGGGGCAATTTAATTCCTGACCCAGGCTCTGAGTTCAAACTTAGCAAAACATGTTGAGTTTTTTTTTGCGAAATGACTCTTTATATTCTAGAGAGCTCTGGAAAGCAATGATTGCAAATGACATCCATCCAGCCCCCTCAGCCCCCCAGTCTCTGCTAGCAATGAGGAGATGATGGCACACAGAGAATTCCCAGCAGTTTGTGGCTGCTCCCTCCTCCGGAATGACCCCCGTAACTCCTCCTTTGCCCTGGTGCCCCACACATCTTGTCTAAGTTGATGGTTTAGAATGTCTCAGTAAAACCCTCAAGCCCCATTTTCTGGGATGCTGAACTTCAGTGGGTTCTGTGCCTTTGTGAGTCTTCAGCTGGGAGAGGAGGGTGAGAGCAGGAGCATCTCCCACCAGAGCCTGCCCAGCATCTGGAGAGGAGCCAAATGGAGCCTCCATCTGCCCTGCAGGTTTGGGAGGTGCTTGGGATGGGTTGTGCAAAGCTGGGAAAGATTTGTGCTTTGGCCATCATTTCCATTTCCTCATTAGCCGCCCTGAGGGAGGTGAGCACCTACACTGGTCCTTTCCAGGGCTCAAGCTCAGCCCTGGGGAGAGACTGGGACAAAGCAGAGCCTGAGTGTGAGGCCAAGGGAGTGTTCGGAGAGTTGTGAGCTCCTTTGAAGCAGCCCTTTGTAAACCCTGCTCTCAGAAGGGCTCTGCAGCGCCGGCCCTCGCAGCCTGCCCGCAGACAGGCGCATTTCACCGTGGCTATCAGGGCAGGTTTCTCAGCCATCCTGTTGCTATTTTCTTGCCTGGCCCCCGTGGCCATCCGCGTTTAGGTTTCAGCGATCATTTAGCAAGCAGCCCCCATGCAGCCCACCCGGTGCAGGTGCTGGAGGGGGACACGTCCCCCCTGTACAGCTGAGGGGGGGGCTGGTGGCTCCGTGGAGCCAGGAGCCGATGACAATGGGCAATTGTCAAATTGGGGCCCCTCTCGTTTGAGTTTTCTTCCTTTTATAGTAAGTAGCAGTTGCTCCAGCAGCTGGCCTGCCCCTCCAGGGTGAGCACTGGGCTCCGTATATAAGGGAAGGAGCAGCCTTTGCCTTTCATCCCTCCGTTCCTTCCCTCGCTGGGCGGCACGACTCATCCCGCACCTCCGCGAATCCCGGCGCGATGCCGCTCAAGAAACCCGACCCGAGGAAGGAAGCGGCCAAAGCAGCTCCCGGCCCGGAGCCTGCCTTCGATCCCAAGAGCGTGAAGGTGAGTGAGGAATGAAGGCGTCACCGTGTTCCTCCGCGCCTGTCATCTGCCAGGCACAGGCGATGCAAAGCGCTCTGCAAATGGCATTAGCCAGGCTGCAAGCCAGCCTTGGGAGGGGAAAATGATGCGATGGTGTGGATGCAGCAGGCTGGGAGTGATGCTGTCCCTGCTTGGGGAGACGTCTCAGTGGGGGGAACCAGGACACCACTCCCCGAGCTGCGGCTGCAGTCAAACCCCCAGCTCCTGCTGAGACCCCGTGTCGGGGCCTCAGGAGCAATAAAAAGCCGCTCTGCCACCCACTGCCTCCATCACAAAGTATTTTGTTGCCTGTGTTGCCTCCTCCACATAAGAGCATCCTTTATCTGACAGCTCCACAACAGGAACTCGCTTTTTCCATGATTCCTCCAGATACTTCAATTTTTAAGCCATAGCTGTGGCAGGAGAGTTATTAAGAGCAGGCTCAGCATGGAGGCTGTTTAATCACTTGAACTTGAGATCAGGCCCTAAAATAACGTCCTTGCCACCCAAAATAATCCTGACTGTGGTCTGAGCATCCCTTCTTGCCTGCCAGGTAGCATCCCACCCTGCTGCTGCCAGCTGTGCTCCCCACAGGGATGTCAGCTCCACAGCGAGGGCAGAAGCAGTCGGGGACACAGCTCAGCCAGACATGGCATAGAAATGGGACATGGCAGGGATATGGCCCCCTGCCCCGAGCCTGGGGGGGCAGAGGTCCAGAGGGGAGAGTTCCTTTGCTCCCTCCAGCAGCAGTCCACTTCTCACACCCAGCTCTGCTTCCTTCTCTTTACAGATTGAATTCACGGCAGAGCAGATTGAAGGTGAGTGCTGAGTTCAGCTTCTCTCAGAGATGGCTTTAGAAATGGGGAATCCTTTTTCCAGGTAGTTTTCACCACAGACTTAAGAGCTGAGGCCCCACACATTAAATCCCCTCTTGGGGGAGAGGCCAGCAGGATCCAGAGCCTGGCAGGGAAAAGGTATTTTTCATTCATGGTGCAAGATGCAGCCTGGGTCAAAGTTAGGGTGTCTGGTGGGAGGAGAAGCCTCTGGTGACACAGGGACAGCCCCAGGGAGTGGAGATCTGAGTGGAAAAGGGGACAAGTACGGATGTCCTGCAGCAAAGCCAGCTGCTGAGAGTGCAGGGATCCAGCAGGTCACCCAGCCAGCTCTGCAGAGGTGACAGAACCTGCTCGAGCAGCCAAGTGACTCTCTAAGGAGCCTGGCAAACCTCAGCCCGCGTTGCGCAAGCTCACTCGGGGCTGGATGCATTCAGAGGGCACAACGTGCACGTGTCCGTCTGTCCCTTGTCCCTTGTCCCTTCCCTGCCTGCCAGGCACGATGTGCTTCCCTGGAGTGGGAATGGGGTCACTCCAAGCTCTTGTTCCCTGCAGAGTTCCGAGAAGCCTTCGGGCTGTTTGACCGGACGCCTGCGGGGACGATGCAGATCAGCTTCGGCCAGTGCGGGGACGTCCTGCGGGCCCTCGGCCACAACCCCACCAACGCCGAGGTCCTCAAGGTGCTGGGCAGGCCCAAACCAGAAGGTGACAGCAAGCTGGGGACAGGGTGGGACAAGCAATTCCTGTGCTCCCTGTCAGCTGGTAGAGGGTTACATTCATTGCCTGTAGGAAGAACCCTGCAAGGTGAAGGAACTGGGAAGGAAATTATGCAGACAGGCTTCATTCCTGTGTGATTCCTTCACTCCCTTCTCCATACCATGGGGGATGACATAGGGGATAGGCAGTCCTCACACAGGAATGGTGGCAAGTGATGCTTAGCACACTGAACTGGTGCAAACTGGTAAAACCAGCCCAGTCCCAGTGTGGCCACATTACTGTGGTGACAGATGACACAACTGATGGTTTAGTTTTGGGCTGATATCAGGGGTCTCTGTGCAGTCCCCTGATGTTAATTCTTCATTCCTCATATGGATCTTCCAATCTCAACTCTAATACAATAGTTCTGTCTCCTCATGGGGTTTCTCTGATGGAAAAGAGACCAAGAGAGTTAATCAGGAGATGCTCACAGGCTTAATTCAGCCCCATGAGGGTTCATCTCTGACCCCATCTCCTCCTCTTCCAGAAATGAACACAAAGATGCTGGACTTCGAGACCTTCCTGCCCATCCTGCAGCACTTCACCCGCAACAAGGAGCAGGGCACCTTCGAGGACTTTGTGGAAGGGCTGCGTGTCTTTGACAAGGAGGGCAACGGGATGGTGATGGGGGCTGAGCTGCGCCATGTGCTGGTCACGCTGGGTAAGGGGGCAAGGCATGGACCCCGAGCTCTTTCTGGGCAAGAGGCTGAGGTAGCTGCCTGGTGTCACAGAGGCCCTTCTCACTCTGCTGCTCACAGGCTCTTGTAGGAGCCAATAGTCCTGAATGTGTGGCCATTTCCACCTCATGGCACAGTTTCATGCATGGAGGAGGCAAGATGGAGACTCCAGAACAGCCTCAGTAATCAGACAACAGTTGCAGTGTGGCTCTGTCTCCACCATCTCCCACCAGCATTCCTCAGTAGTGGCACACAGCTCTGCTTTAATCCCTTCTCCTCCCTCTGGTGTCTCTGGTTATCTGTCCAGTTTTCGGCTGCTTGGAGGGCCTGGAAAGGCCCGGAGTGGCCTTGGGGCAGCCCGCGTATCAAAGGACGAGAAGAGGCTTCAGTTCTTCTTTCGGTCTTTATGTTTATTAATTGTTTATCTAAAAGATTTTCTCTCGGCCCGACAGAGCTCTGCTCAGCAGCCAGCCATGAGCACACTGTCCTGCCCTCCGGGCAGTCACCTATCTTTATACCCATTGTTACGTGTACAATATTTATCATTTTTCCCCAATACCTTTTATTCTTATTGTCCAGTGCACTTTCAGTAATGACCAATCCCAAAGTGCCACCATCACCACAGAAGATGGAGGAGAAGAAGAAGAAGAAGAAGGACAGGACACGCCCCAATTCCTCCATCTTACTTCTCTAAACCCCCCTGTACAGAAATCCTAAACCCTGTGTCTCACCCTCTAATTAACCAATCCCTTCACCATTCACCCCGGTGAAACCCTCCCATCCTCATACAGGTGTCGTCTCCCGTGTAGGATCAAAGTGCAGCCACCAGACACTTCTGGAACATTCCAGGACTCCCGAGCCCCCCAAGGGTGCTCTCGGTGACTCGGCACCTCAGTCCTGAGGTGCTGAGATCCCACAGTTATCTAGAAAAAGGGCAGGTCCTGTCAGGCTGAAAACCCTTCCCTCACCTCTCCATCCTCCTGTTCCAGGAGAGAAGATGACAGAAAGCGAGGTGGAGCAGCTCATGGCAGGGCAGGAAGATGCCAATGGCTGTATCAACTATGAAGGTAAGGGCAGGACATTCCCACTGGGGCCATCTCAGACACGGCTGTCTTGTCTTGGGGTGCAAAATGCATCCTCTGCAAGGGCTCTGCTTGGACCTGATGTTCTCAATGGTCTTTTCCAACCTTAATATTCCATGATTCTGTGGCACTGTGAGCACTGGAAGGGAGGTGTGGACCACCCTCCAAAGCCCTTCCAAAAAAGCACTGAGACATGTCAGCCGGGGTGGGAACAAGGTGCTTGTGCCAGTGATTTCCAGGAAAAGCAGCTGAAGAC